TGGAAAAGCAAGGCAGATTTTTTCAGTGGGTGGGACCGGGGACTGCCAAGAAATCTTCCACCTAACATGCTCACAACTTCCTTAGCTCCCCCTCCCCCACTGGCCATGGGACAGTGGGTTTTTTTCGTTTTGTTTTGTTTTTTTGCAGTACAATGGTTTGAACTCAGAGCGCTCTGCCATTTGAGCCACTCCGTCAGCCCACCCCTTGTTTTTTATAAGCAATCTAGCATGCTGGCATTTTCCATTTCCAAATCAGCACATCAAAGAGCTTCCTCAATACTCTGCTTTGTGGCTAAGTGGTGTTGCAGATATGAATGAACTTTAATTTATTTAGCCAATCTCTGGTGGTTAGATAGCGAGGGTGTTTCCAGTCTTGTAGTATCATACACGATACTGCAATAAATAGCCTCATTCAGACACAGTGCCAGGGATGTGAGTGCACTGTGGGGCAAATCCCTAGTAATGGAATTTCTGGGTCAAAGGGTAATGAGAACATGCAATTCTCATAGATATTTCTAGATTATTTTCCAAAGAGGTTGGATCCATTTACACTCCTGCCTACAGTGTTATGAGGGTGCTGGTTCCCTGCGCACCTGCCAGCCTGATGGGCAAAAACTTTCCAGTGTAATTGCACTTGCAGCCCTCCCCTAGTGACGTGGTTCAGCGGCTTTACGTGTTTAAGGACCATTTGTGTGGTTGTTTTTAATGTGAACTCTTGTTGTCCTCTGCTCACTTTTCATCTGTGCTCTTGGTCTTTATATATTAGGGATAGGCTGGGAGGGGTGTAGCTCATGTACAGTGGTTGCCTGGCATGTGCCCGCCCCTGTACTGCCAAAGCGGGTGGTCTGGCCAAGTGGCAGCATACACCTATAATCCAAGCACTCTGGAGGCTGAGGCAGGAGGATCCTGAGTTCCAGCTCAGGGCTACATAACCAGATCCTGTCTCAAACAAATACACACACAAATAAAAGATCCTATAATGTTAGCAGAATTAGCCCTTTTTTTCTTCCTGTTTTGTGTGTGTGTGTGTGTGTGTGTGGTATTGGGATTTGAATTCAGGGCCTACACCTTGAGCCACTCCACCAGCACTTTTTTTTGTGATGGGTTTTTTCGAGCTAGGGTCTCAGGAACTATTTGTTTGGGCCGACTTGGAACCTCAATCCTCCTGATCTCTGCCTCCTGAGTAGCTAGGATTACAGGCATGAGCCACTGGTGCCAGGAGGAGTTAGCCCTTTGTTAGAAGAGCTGTCGATAATTTTCCCAGCTGTTTGCCTTTCAACCTTGCCTTTGGGCTAGTAATCTGCAAAACTGTTTATATTTCTGGAGACAAATTTATCAGTTCTGTTTTTATGGCTCTTAGGTTTTCTGACTTGCTCAGAAAGGAGTCACACACCTTTTTTCTTCAGTTTAAGCTTGGAAAGCTGCTGGTTGTATAAGGAACAGGACAAGACAACTGCTCCTCTCCAAAGAGATTCCAATGTTAGAGGAACAAAAAGCAAACTGACAATTGTAATTCTGCGTTATAACAGGTAGCAGAGGGTACAAGGAGAACCTGGGCAAACGTCACTTAATCTGGTCTGAGTCTGCCAGGGAAGGTTTTCCAAAGGTGGCAGCCGGGTACCACTAGAGGCCCGTGTAGGAGTCAGTGAGGGGAAGAATGCCTTTCCTCGTGCAGAGGCAAGAGGCGAGAAGCAACATGGCTTGTTCAGGGTTGTCCAGTCTGCAGGAGGGCAGGGATCCCTGCAGGGCTGTCATGGGCGCTTTCAAGGGTGGGGTTATAAGGGTAGGCAGGGATCAGATCACCTAGGACCAGGGGTGTGCCACCTGAGAGTCTAGGCAGTAGAGAGGCAGCTGTGGGACCTGACCAGCCCGGTGGAGGAAGATCTGGAGTCAGCCCCATGCGGAGGCTGGGCACTAGCTTAGAAGCTTCAGTCTCTCTTCCAGCAGGAGACACGACAGCCTTGGAAGGCTCCAGATGGTCAGACAGGAGTGCAAATTTCAAATCTAAATGTTTTATTTTGTCAAACTTCCAGAATCATACAAAATTCATCAGGATGATACTGGATTGTTGATCCCGAGTTCGTGTACTGGTGAAGTCGGTGATTGAAGAAGCCAGGCCAGGAATTAAGAGTAAAGTAAGCACCAAGTTTACTGAAAAGACAGCAAAGCTCCTGGTGTGTTGGGGCTTAGGAAAGCTAAGCCGTAGTACAGCTGGGCTCTAGGAGTGACACAGGGCTTGCCTGCTCAGGACCACCTAGTCTACCCAGAAACTGCATTTGTGATTGGCTGTCATCTAGTTGACTTCCTGCTGACTCCGACCACCTGCTCATCCCCATCCTTATGGAACTGGAATTCCAGGAGGGTCTGGTCAGCTCCCCTGGCCTTGAGGCCCACCATTCACACTTCTGTTATTTTGGTGCGGGGTTTGCCGTTTCAGTTTACTGGGGAGCCCGCTTCTGTCTCTTTCGATGTCTGTTTTCAAAGATGCCTTCCTGTCTCCTTATCTAAGACAAAGTCACTTCTGTTATTTGCTTCCTCCACAAGGGGAAGCTAGCATCTTCTCTGAAGAGCAATTTTACATAAGATGATGACAATATTAAGAGCTTGGAGCCTTTGTGGGGGAAGCTGTGATTGTCACCCCATCTCAGCACCCTGGCAGATGGGTCAGATGGGGCCAGGCAGATGCCCTACCCTCTCCTCTTAGCTGCAGCTGGCTCAGGGCACAACTGGGCTCTTCAGTCCCAGCCCATGCCCAGTCACCCAGACCTCCATTTAAAATGGGCAGCAGGGATACAGGACTGCCCTGGGCCAGAGGTGAGTGGTGAGCCCCAGGGATGGGGTCTCTAGCTGGCCCATGCCCATAGGGAATTCTCTTTCCCTCAGCCAACAAGGCTCAGTCCTGCTAGCTGGCCAAGACTGCTTCCAGAGCTATAGGTCAGGGCCTTGCTCCCCTTGTCTTTCTAATGGCTGGTCTCCCTGGGCTCAGGACAGAGCCCAGCACATGACAAGCACCAAGTGGAAGCTAACCAACTGGATCTGTTGACGTTGGAGTCTTGCTATTCTCAGCTTGGTGCTGAAGGAGGAGTAAGGCCAGTGTGAACAGGAGGGATGGACACAATCCAAAAGGAACTTTAGGATTTTCTCTGGATTTCAAGGATCCAGGAACTCTCCATGTCCTAACCCCTAAACTAGCCAAAGAGGCTTTTTTTTTTTTTTTTCCAGTTCTGAGGTTTGAACTCAGGCCCTTGCACTTGCTAGGCAGGGCACTCTACTACTTGAGCAACACTTCCAGCCTAAGCGATTGGTTCTTTTTTGGGGGGTGGGGTGGGACTGGAATTTGAACTCAGGGCTTCATGCTTGCAAAACTCTACCTCTTGAGCCACACCTCCAGTCATTTTGCTCTAGTTATTTTGGAGATGGGGGAGTCTCATGAACTATTTGCCTGGGCTGGCCTCGAACCATGATCATCCCAATCTCAGCTTCTAAAGTAGCTAGGATTGCAGGTGTGAGCCACCAGTACCCTGCAAGAGGTTGTTTCTTTTCTTTTTTTTTTTTCCTTTGGTGAGATTGGGGTTTGAACTCAGGGCTCATGCTTGCTAGGCAGACGCTCTACCACTTGAGTCACTTTGTCAGCACTGTTTTGTGATGAGTATTTTTGAGATAGGGTCTCATGAATTATTTCCAGGCTGGCCTCAAACAGCAATCCTCCTGATCTCTGCCTCCTAAGTAGCTAGGATTATAGGTGTGAGCCACCAGTTCCTGGCAAGAGGTTGGCTCTTGATGCTACCATTTTAGTTATAATTTCTTTAGTGCCCTTAGGCAATTTTATCCCACAGAATAACTTGATTTAAGTCAAGAGAGAAAGATTCTTGGAGGCTGCTGGAGGCCCTGGTTCCAGACAGCAGCTTCCTTTCCCCCTTCCTCCCCCGCAAGGCACTAGTACCTCCAGTGCTCTCAAGGCATCCATGGGCTGACTCATGCCTAGCCTGGAAACCAGGAGGGTAGGAAGCAGACTCTACCTTGCTGCTGCAAATACACAAGCAAGTCCTTGCCACTAGGCCACACCAAAGACCAAAGTCAAAGGCAAGGCAGCAGGAGGTTACTAGGCCAGAGTGCAAGGTCTCTCTGGAGACTCATCCCCAGCCCATGAGTACTGTCAACAAGGCACAGGCTCCCACATCTCTGTTACAAGTGCCACAAAGCTAAAGGGATGTGGCCCCAGAGGAAACCAGGAAGCAAGAGACCTGGGACTCAGGGCAGATTCCAGTCCTGCCAGCAGCTTGCCTGTCATCTGCATAAAGGGCCAAGTCAGCTTGGGTAACGTAGGACTTAATTTTCCCAAAAATGAGATAGCCTGGCGCATATACATACCTAGTTTGAACTTCTGTTTATTTGACAATCTTTATGGTCCAGGTACTTGTTAGGCTGTCTACAGTAGTTCCCCCACACCCCTCCCCTTTTTTTCTTTTGCTTTCTCTGGTTTTGGTTACCTGTGGTCAACTGCAGTCTGAAAATATTAACTATTAAATGAAAATTTCCAGAGGTAAACAATTCATAAGTTTTTTTTTCAGTACTAGGATTTGAACTCAGAGCCTCACACTAGCTAGGCAGGAGTACTACTACTTGAGCCATGACTACAGATGGAAATCTGGTCTAAAAATGTGCTAAGGAGCCTGATGAAACATCACACCTTCCTACTCTATCCCACCCTGAACATGAATCATCACTTTGTCCAGTGTATCCACCTTGTATACACTACCAGCACTTTAGCTACTTAGCTGTTACGGTGTCACAGTGCTCCTGTTCAAGTAACCCTTATTTTACTTAATAATGGCCCCAAAGCCCAGCAGTAGTGATGCTGGAGATAAGTCAAAGAGAAACTAAGTGTTCCCATTAAGTGAAGAGGTGAAAGCTTTCAACTTAATAAGGTAAAAATTGTATGCTGCAGTTGCTAAGAGAAAGACCACATTCACACTTACAGTGGATTTTTAATTGCCGTTTTATTATTAGCTATTATTAATCTCTTACTGTATGTGATAGTTAATCCCGATTGTCAGTTTCATTGGATTGAGAGTAGGAGATCAGTAATGTACACCAGTGGTTGTCTCTTCAACGTTATTTCCAGAGCCAATTAGATCAGGAGGGTGCTGACCTAATCAATGCTTTAATCTGACTTGGATTCAAAATCTGAATAGACTATTGAGAGGGGGTGAAGACTGTGAAAGGAGAGGCCTACTTGGATAAGTGGGTCACTGGGAGTGTGCTTTGAAGGATGTAACTTGGCCCTTTTCTGTTGCTCCTCTCGGCTTCCTGGTTGCCAAATGCAGCTGTGCTCTCTCACACCCCTTCACTATGATGCTTAGCTTCACCTCAGGCCTAAAATGACAAGGCCAAAGGACACAGACTAAAGCCTTTGAAATTGTGAGCCAAAATAAATCATTCTTCAATTTGCTTTCCTCAGGTATTCGTCAGAGCAAAGAAAAGTTGACTAACACACTGCTCTAATTTACAAGTTAAACTTTGTCATGGGTATACATGCATGGGAGAAAGCAGTGTACTTAGGGTTTGGTACTATCTGTAGGTTCAGACATCCACTGGGGGCCCTGGAATATATCCCCAGTAGACAGAGGAGACAATTGTATTCTGCATACATTATATCATTTAATCCTCTCAACAGCTCCATGAGGTAAGGATGATAATGCAGATGAGGAAAGTAAGGATCAGGAAGGTGAAGTCCCAAGCCAAGGCCCATTGCTGGTAAGAGGCACAGCTGGATTTGAACTAAGGTCTGTGTGACTTCAGTATTCTTTGTCCTTAACCACCTGTGCTGGTCAGTCATCAACGCAGATCCTTCCCCAGCCTCACCTGGCAATGCCCCCTGATCTCTGAGACCACAGACAGGTTGCTAAGGAACAAAAGAGTCTCCTAAAAGGTCCTTTTTCCTTATTTCCAACCTCACAGCATGGTCTCTGGGAAATCTGAGAGTCTTGCCGCCTTACAGACTTTCTGGCTCTGTGTGGCACATGGGCACCCCACCAAAACGACCAAAGCTCCCAAGGCCTGGTCAGGGGACTACCACACCAGGGATCTCCAGCCACACTGTTTCTAAAAGCAATTACTGGACTCGGGATGTGACTCACTGGTGGAGCACTTGCCGGGCATGCTCAAGGTCTTGGGTTCGATCCCCAGCACCACAAAAATAAATAAATGAATAAATCAATGAATAACTTTGACCTCTCTATTTAAAAAAAAAAAAGCAATTACTATGCGGGAGATAGAATCGCGTGTTCCTCCCAGGAGCACAGGGTCAATATGGCAACATGGCAGTGGGCTCCCCTGGTTTGTTGGGCCCATCCCAGTAAGAAATAGGGAGGAACTCCTGAAAGAGGGGTTCCTGATCAAAAGAAGCTGGGCCTGGGCCTACGTTCCAGCTAACCTGGAGGAGGTCAGGTCCTGGGAGAGGCTCCACAGCAGGCCCAGGCCTGACCCTCATCAGCAAATGCAGAATCTTTACCATATGCTGCTGACATCTTCACCATCTCAGCCTGACAATACACTGAGTACAGGGGACATATGAGACAGAAATCCCAGTTCAACTGTGCTGGAAGAGGACTTCTTTCACTTTATCCACAATGGTTTCCACCTCGGCCATGGCGCCCAGACCTGGAAGTAAAGTTATGCTGTGGCCAGACAGGCTAGCAATGCCTGCACCCACCCCCCCCAACCAAATGCTCTCCCAAGCACCCCACTCAGGGCCCAAGGACTGAGATGGCCATGTCCAGTTCTGCCTGACCCACACCCATCATTCCCCTCATAAGACACCCCAAAACAGACTCTGGGAGTGAGTCATCCTGGTAGCCATCCTTACCAGTGTGTTACACTCCAGGGACTACCAGGCACTTGACTCACACGGTCTCATTTCACCCTAACAATCCTGAGAGGCAGGAATTAGGATTCCCACTTTCCAGAGGGGAGAGCTGAGCTCACAGAATAGTTTTGGCTAAAGTTACAATAGGCTGGATGTGAACCCAGAGGTGACCCCAAAGCTATGGGCTGTGAGCCTGGCAAGACACCCACCTTGGTCTCCACACACCAGCTTCTTGGCCACACAGGGAATCTCCACATAGCCAAAGGCCTTGAGTTGGTTGACCTGCTGTGCGGTGAGGGGGTGCTCCCACATAGCGGTGTTCATGGCAGGGCAGAAGAGCAGGGGCTTGCTGTGGTCCCAAGCCCGGATGACACAGGTCTGTGAAGAGGGGCCAGTGTGTGTGTCGGGGGTGGGGAAGGGGGTGCTGCTGCTCTGCCAACCAGCCTTTCCAAGTCCTCCCCACTGTCCTCTGGCTACAGCCAGCAGTCCAGCCATGGGCTTGAGATGACTGGGTGCTGCCTATCTGCTGTGAGCTGTCTCCTATCCTTTGGGAGGAGGGCTGTGTCTCCTCGCCCCTCGATCCTCCCCTCTAGCTCTGACTTGGGCCCTAGACACAGGACGTGTTCAACCAATGCCTACAATGCCCAGCCACCTCCAGCAGACCTCCCTCCTGTATGTTCTCCCTGTGACCCAGCTGAAGCTTTCTCCATGAAGGCTCATACCTCTAGGTTGCAACAACCCTGGAGTGCAGGAGACAGGGTTCACAGTTCACAGGAAAGCTAGGGGTCATACCGCTCATGGGGCAGGTACTCAGCCCCAGCTCTGCTTTTGGGCCCTAGCAATGAAAACATCTGACACGTGACAAACACCTCTTCTCACACATTATCTCAGGAGCCTTTGATGAGACCCTATAAGGAAAATGTTGATCCCTTTCACAGATGGGCATGCTGCATCTCCTTGAGAGGGGAGCAGCTCCCTGAGGCCACACTGTGCACATGCCCTGGGCAGCCTCCCCACCTCCCAAAGCCCGGTCATCCCACCGAGTCACAGATCCAGGCAGCAGTGAAAGTGCCTGACTGGCTCATAGAATCCTTAATGCCTGGGGCTTTGCAGCCAAGTAGGTCTGAGATCAAATCCTGCCTGTGCTGTTACTCGCTGTGAAACCTTGAATGAGTTATTTGATACCAGGGCCTCAGCTTCCTTTCTGCAAAAGGGCTCCTTGTGGGACAGCTGTGAGGACTGAGGATATGAGTACTTTTACAGCTCAGCCCAGTGTCCAGCACTAAGCACCAGCTCCAGCACAGCAGCTCAGCTTTATCACAACCACAAGCTCAATGACTGGGAGGCCTCAGGGAAAAAGGAGCTCCCCTGCACTCTGACTGTGCAGGCACCTCCTCCCAAAGGCTGGGAGATCCTGGAGAGACAATGGCTGGAATTAGAGTCCATCTGGGAAAAAGGGGAGTCCAGAGAACAAGCCATGCACAGGCCTGGGCCAGCACCTGCCCCCTTAGTGCCCTGGCCTTCTCCTGGGACAGCAAACGGCCCCAGGATCTGGCTGCTTGCATCATCCTAGACACCAGAGTTGGTTTCCTACCAAATCCTCTCAATGGGGCAACCGGGCTGTGAGTGGACAGTTTCAGTCACACTTCCTCTTGGCCCAGAGCCACGTGCTGCAGAGAAGAGCCCCTTGACTGTGTGTGGTGTGGGGGCTGTGCTGGGGTTTCTAAGCACCCTCAAAGCAAAGCATACCAGCCACAGCAGAACCCTAACACCTCCACCTTGCAGCATATCTGCTCCCCCTGCCTTGTCTGTCTCACAGCTCAGTGCTTCCTGGACAAACCGCAGCTCCTTCAAACCTACTGGCAGCAGGAGGGAGGAGAGGAGGAACTCAGTTCCCACGGCCAAGTGGCCGGTGCTGTGTTCAGCAGCTTAGCGTCTGCCCCTGGAAATCCACTCAGGTATGGCAAGAGGCCAAATCCTATTTGGAAGATCAGGGCCCAGCCAGACAAATGACCCTGGAAAGTCACCTCCTCTTTCTGGATCTGATTGCCTGTTTAGTACAAACAAGGGGCCAGAGGACCTGGGTGGGCCAGAGGGCAGATGCTCAGACCAAGGCTCAGAGGCCAGGAGCACAGGATCCCCTAGCGCGCTGCTCTCCTGGTGCTACCAGTTCTGGGCCCTGGAGAGGGAGAAGGTCTGAGAGGAAGTAGGCTGAGCTTCCTTTCAGGATTAGAAGACATCTGTGGAGAAAGAACAGGGTCACATACCGCAGATGCCGACAGCTCAAACTTGTAATATTTGAGACTCTGTGAAACATTTGTGCCTTTAAGTAAAACCCTTGGAGGTCAATGTTCCACTGCCAAGCCAATTCTGGAGAGAGAACCCCAAAGATTTCAGGAAGTGGTGGCAGCTTTGAAGAAAAATGGGAAGCAGAGTTTTTAGGAGGCAGGAGGAGCCCTGGGAGAGCTGGTTGGGGCTTCACTCCAAAGTCACAGTGCTTTGTCACATCAGCAGCTGCTGACCAGCCAGTGGGGGCCTGCAGGTTTGGTGGGATGGTGCTAAGCACCCTACTCTGACCTGCTTCAACGAAAGTGGCTGGACTCTTGTGCCCTGTTAGCTAGATCCCACCCTGCTGGTGGTCTTGACAATGCTGCTCCAGCTCTGCTTCCTTGTCCTCTCCAGTCTGCAAGGGCGACACTGGTAATATTCTGCTCACCCTGTGCTCTGAGTCACTAGCAGCTTCTCTGAGGAGGACCCAAGAGTTCACTGACAAGCAGACAAGGATATCACTCTCCTATCTAACCTCTAAAATTCCTGACTCAGTTTCCATATTCACCTACTTTACCATATTAAACTCTAAAAGACTCCAGGCTGTTTACAAACATAAAATTACTTCCCACTGCATATGTGTAATAAGTATTTCTTGAAAGCAAGAACCCACTGTTAAAGGGCTGATGGGGCCATTTAATATTGTACCAGGTCAGGCACAGTGGCTCACGCCTGTAATCCCACCTACTCAGGCGGCAGAGATCAGGAAGACTGTGGTTCAAGGCCAGCCCGGGGAAAAAGTTCATGAGATCCCATCTCGACAAGTAAGCTAGCTGCAGTGACATGCCTCTAGAATCCCAGCCACGCAGGAGGCATAGGTAGGAGGATCAAGATCTGAAGCTGGCTCTAGGCAAAACCTTGAGATTTTGTCTGAGAAATAACCAAAGCAAAATGGGCTAGGAGCATGGCTCAAGTGGTAGAGCACCTGCCTGACAAATGTGAGGCCTTGAGTTCAAACTCCAGTATCTCTGGGGAAAAAAAAAAGACTGTACCAGGAGACATTCTCCTTCTGCCTGCATGGATGACCAGAAACCATATCCTTCTGTCCTGTGTCTTCAGTGTGGACCCCAGCACACAGGAGGAAAAAGCTCAAGAAATGGGGAAAAAAGTCATTAGGGAAAGGGAGGGAGGAGAAAAATCAACCCAGATCTTCCTAGATGATCATATGAACAAAGGCAGACCCTCTTTAAGTGAGTGGCTCCCTGGAGGTCTCGAAGGCCTAAGCCAATGCCTATTTGTACAGCTGGACTTTGTTTCAACCTCCACCATCCATCAGCAATCACCTCTCACCCTGCCTTTCTCCTCTCTTCCTCTAAGCTTTTCCGTACATAGGAGACAACTGAGTCTCAGCCTTGGGGCTAAGGCTACTAAAGAGGTAAGTGTGTGTGAGACCCATGGGGAAGCAGTCTCCCTTACCAGACTACCCACATGTACATGGACACCTTGGTGAGCAGGTGAGGCTGAAGCAGGAGGTGGTGGGCATTGGGCAGACCACTGGAAGAGCACGATGTCCTCCATCCAGGGCAGCCACGATGGAGGACAAAGGGAGAGCACTAGGCTGGGGGTGGGCACCCAGCTGAGCACTGAGAAGCTGATGAGAGGCAGACCTCCAGAGAGCACCAGCAAGCCTAGTCGAGGCCTCAGATCCGGTCTTCTGCCCCCTTGCTAAGAGTAGGTGGGACAAGCAAACTTGGGTTGCCTAGTCAGAGGTTTCCTGGTCCAAGGAGATCTGACTCTCAGCAGAACTGGGAGTGAAGCCTGGGGAAGGATGAGGACATAGGAACTCTGCTGAACTCACAAGCAAGTTGTCACAGATACCACTGGCCACCTTCCCCAGAGTGTTGGCATCGAGAGGTGCTACAAGCATGAGGTCTGCCCATCTCCGCAGTTCAATGTGGAGAACAGGGTCAGCGCGGTGCTTCCATGTCTGGCAGAAGAAGGAAACAGGAGTCAGTGTGTGTGTGTGTGTGTGTGTGTGTGTGTGTGAAGCATGCCAGGTACGTAAGTCAGGAGCTCCAGGGAGACCACCTGACCTTCTCCTCCTAGTCCACTATCGTCCCCTCCCGAGCCTAAGCTGGCAAGCATTGGCAGTGGAGCCAGCAGCCTGACAGAAACCAGGCCTGAGGAAACAAGCGTCCCTTGTCTCTCTGAGCTATTCCCTTTATGGTTTGGTTTTCAAGAGAACTGACATCTGGCAGGGAACTCCTGGCCTGTCTGCTTGAGGCGGATGCTGGTGTCCAAGCCAGTGGAAGGGCTCTGGGGCAGTGAGAAATGGAGGGGGCGGAGAGGGGAGGACAGACCAGCCAGAAATGTTCAAGGCTGAGAACGTTTAAAAATGCCTGGCAGGGCATCCCCGGGAGGCCCACACTCCGCCCCTGGCAAGTTAGCTCAGTGCCCACCCCTCTGCAGAGCCTGGCGGCCGTGGGAAGTGAGGCACTCTGGACAGCCCTGGCGCTGGGAGCCACGTGGACAAGGGTGGTGGGAACAGAGCTCCTCTGTGGTTTCATCAGCCCAGATAAGTACAAGGACACTCAACCCCAGGCACCCAGCCAAAGCTGAGCTCGACTTTGGGAGGGCGGGGACTGCAGGCCTCCCTTAGGCAGAAGCTAGACAGATGTTTTCCTCATCGCCTCTGCCTAGATGGCCCTGACCACTGACTTGAGCCCATCCTGTCTGCTCCGGCCGCCAAGACCATAGTCTGCAGGGTGTACAGTTCTGTCCTATTGGGGGAAACACAATGGAACATGGCCCAGGGGCACCAGCACTGACCTCCCATTCATCAGCATCACTGTAGAGGGTGACAGGAACATCCTGGGGGCTGTAGAAATGTTTGGCTTTTTCGGTTGTGACCACTGTGACTTCTAGCTGTCACCAAGAAAAAGTAAAGAGAAGGAGAAGAGAGAGGAAACTGTTACCAGAGTCACAGGCCTGGAAGCTACACGAGGGCCAGTGCAGGCAGATACTCTCCGCACAGAGGACTTCCCCTCCTTAGCAGCCCAATGTTTGCACAGTTACTTCCGCTGTTACCCAAAGGTCAGGCCCTGCCAGGTGCAGCCGTTTCACTTCTCTATCTGAGGGGTTGCTGAGGAATGAGTCACCAACTGCCCAGTGTATATAAGGCAGCAGATTCCTGCCACTCAGGCAGAGTGAGGCCAGAGGCAGCAGCAGGCGGGTGATGGGAAGGGAGCTCAAGGCTACAGGACCTTGGAGGCCACCGCAGGCAGGAGGGGCCAACCAGGGGGGCCCCTAGTTCTGTGCCACAGGGCAGCCTGCCCTCTACAGGCCACAGCACTGAGAGGTGGGGCTGGCACGTTGTGTGTGAGTCCATGTACCAGTGAGAGAGCAGAGTCTGTCACATACTTTCAGGATCAAGGCCTCGGGATTTCAGGCTGTAGACAGACTCCGGCAAAACCAAGTCCGTGTGCCCCGCACTCACGGGAGAGAATGAGTTTGCCTTCACACCACGCATCCACAAACAAATCACCAGTGTAAACAAGGAAGGCATTTAACCTATGTGGCAAGACAAGTGGCTGTGAGAAGCAGCATACAGAGTGTGAAGGGCCCTAGTCAGGCTGGCTGTCACTTGTAAAGCCAGATGTCAGACTAACAAGCTGGCAAGTAAGAAAGGGGCTGGGAAGAAGTGCAAGGGAGTACGGAACCACACCTTTGTGGAAACCACTGAGTCAGGAGAGGACTCATCCAGGAGGGAGAAGAGTCAAGGGCAACATGGACAGTGTCACTGACCAACCAGGGCAGCAGGCAAGGGCAGCAATGGCTGACCACAGCCAGCCTGCAGCATGCCATGTGGCCTTCACAGGGTTATTAACTTTTGTGTGTGTGGGGGGGGGAGACTGGGGTTTGAACTCAGGGCTTCTTGTTTGCATAGCAGGTGCTCTACCACTTAAGCCATACCTCCAGTCCATTTTGCTCTGGTTATTTTGGAGATGGGGGTCTCTTAAACTATTTCCCCAGGGTTGGCTTCAAACCATGATCTTCTCAGCTACCATAAGTAGCTAGGATCACAGGCATGAGCCACTGGTGGCTGGTTTTTTAACATTTTCAAGCTAATATATAAATTGGAAGATTTCACATTGGAAATTCAATTTCCTGAGTTCTCATGAAAATGAACAGCCTGGTCTTCTGGGTCCACACTTCTACTTGCTAAGACTTGGTGGCACTGGGTCAGAGCTGCCTCTCTAGATAGGGCGTGAACGCACCAATTCAGCTTAGTCGCCACTCCTCCCCAATGACTCCCTGAGGCCCCTCTGCTCAGTTGTTTCCTCCTATTGTACAGGGCTGGGGTAGATGTGTGCTGACAAAGCTGGGGCCAGGGGCCAACTCTCAGAGAGGAAGGCTGAGGAAGAGCTACAGAAGGTCTGGGGTCCCCAGCTCTATTGACCTGTCCGTTTTCCATCTCACTTCCTCTTCCTGAGGCACCAGGACATAGAAAAGATTGAAGATAGGGACTCTTAAACACAGATAACTTAACATTGTATTTCAGATTGAAAACACACACTCTCTCTCTGCCCAAATGCTCCTCCCCACCTCCCATTCTCAGTGATCAAGAACTGTTCAGGTTTTGTCCTTCCTACAGTATACCGGGGACCTTTTAAAACACTTTGTTAAGCTGGGCACCAATGGCTCACACCTGTAATCCCAGCTACTCAGGAGGCAGAGATCAGGAGGATTGCAGTTTGAAGCCAATTTAGGCAAATAGTTCTCAAGACCCTATCTCAAATAACCCTACACAATAAAGGGCTGGTGGAGTGGCTCAAGGTGTAGGCCCCGAGTTCAAATCCTAGCACTAAAAAAGAAAAAAAAACAACCCACTTTGTAATAGAGAGCTCTCCTGCTGCCGCCTCCCACCTGGCCTATCGTGGCCTACTGTAACTTTTCCCTCTAACCTTTAATAAACTTTCATTATCATCCTCAGCAGGTCTACATATACTGCCTGGATGCATCCACATAGGATATAAGAATATGGATTTTCTATTTATCAGTAACTGCAACACTGCCACTCAAGTCCTTTAAACCAAATCTCCACTGAGTGCTGAAGGCCCCAGCAGAACATCCTGAACAAATCCTGCCCAGTTCTAGGCATGATGGCAAATGAGCTGCCTTGTTCCTCCACAGAACCCAGCCCTGGAGAAGCCTCTGAACCAACACGGACTGGGAGAGCAGAGGGAGGGGGATCACACTGAGAGTCTTAACTTCTTCATGGGGAAGACATGGGCAGTGATAGGTCAAGTGTGGGGAGTAAGAAGTAGGGTAATCATGAGAAGAATGATGTATAACTGTCAAACTGTCAAAAATGTGAGGGGAGCAAATAACAGAAGTGACTTTGTCTTAGATAAGGAGACAGGAAGGCATCTTTGAAAACAGACATTGAAAGAGACAGAAGCGGGCTCCCCAGTAAACTAAAACGGCAAATCCCACACCAAGATAACAGAAGTGTGAATGGTGGGCCTCAAGGCCAGGGGAGCTGACCAGACCCTCCTGGAATTCCAGTTCCATAAGGATGGGGATGAGCAGGTGGTCGGAGTCAGCAGGAAGTCAACTAGATGACAGCCAATCACAAATGCAGTTTCTGGGTAGACTAGGTGGTCCTAAGCAGGCAAGCCCTGTATCACTCCTAGAGCCCAGCTGTACTACGGCTTAGCTTTCCTAAGCCCCAACACACCGGGAGCTTTGCTGTCTTTTCAATAAACTTTGCGCTTACTTTACTCTTAATTCCTGGCCTGGCTTCTTCAATTATTGACTTCACCAGGACAGGAGCTCAGAATCAACAATACAGTATCACCAGAAGAAAATTCAATCCACACAACAAAGGGAGAAAAGGAGACACAGCAGGGAAAAGACACAATGAGTAGAAATTACTAAATAAGATGGCAGAATAGGTCCTAATGTGATAAACAGAAATACATAATGGGCTCCTGATCAAAATTCAGATTCTCTTTTGGGATTTTTTTGAGGTACTGGGATTTGAACTCAGGGCCTACACCTTGAGCCACTCCACCAGCCCTTTTTTGTGATGGGTTTTTTCGAGATAGGATCTCCCAAACTTCAAACCTTGATGCTTGATCCTGATCTGCCTCCTGAGTCGCTAGGATTACAGGCGTGAGCACTGGCATTTTGGATGTTTTTAAATTCACCAATAGGTTGTCTCAAAAGACACGTTTAAAACAAAGGATATGTAAAGGATAAAGAAAGAATTAACTTTCAGTGAAATAAGGTAAATTCCCAAGAACAAAGAGAAGAGAAAACACAACAGTGGTTAAGGCACCACAATTTCTGGAAGATGGATGTCAAAGGGAGCATTAGCAGAGAAGATGAGATGAGATGAGGCTGGAAAATCCAATACCAAGAGCCTACAAAGCAGCTGAGAAACAGGCACATCAGGGACGGGAACTAGGAAAGGCTCAGAACTGAAGATGGTGGGTACCTGGAAAGGGAGGCAGGAGGCAAAGCTGAAGGCAGCAGGATGGATTCACCGTCTCCAGGACAGGTAAATCTCCCAGCTTCCTCTCCAGTCCAGCAGCCAGATTTACCCCAATTCTGAGTTGTCAAACTTGGAAACACTTGGCAGACAGAGGACAAAGAAGTCCTGGAATAAATACGATAAATATAACTATCTACAGGCTGAGCAAGACCCAAGCTCTTTGCCCCTACTTGACCTAGGAACACTGGGTCTACCAGGCAGGAAACTGGGGAGGTCTTTTCTGGGAGACCAAAATGATCCTGGGAGCACAGGGGTATGGTAGGGAAGGTGACCTCCCCTTCCCTTCAGATATTAAATTCCCAGAGCCCCCAACAGAATAACTCATTCTCAGCTGAGTGCCTGGTAATGGAGACAGAGTTTCCAACCAGCTATTAGCACCCAAATAGGAATATCCAAGGAGTATTAGACATCTGAAGGCTGTCTAGCAAGAGAAGAAGATTAAATAAACGAACAGAAACTTGTGGGCAAAATGCAGGGAGAAGAAAACTCAAGAGGTCAGGGATCATACCCAAGAAAAATAACATAACCTTATTTAAAAAAAAAAAAAAGAGTATCTGGGAACAAAAAGGGACTTTTGGGTACTAAAGTATAGGGAAATAAAAAATTCAAAAGTTCAGAAGAAATCTTCCAGAAAGCAGAACAAAAAGATAAAAAAAATGGATAATAGTGGAAGATGAGAAAAATAGAAAACCAACCCAGGACATAAAAAAATCTGACTAATAAATTCCAGAAGGAGAGAACAGAAAAACAGAAGAAAAAAATTACAAAAGAAACAAATTAAGGGCCATGTATAATGAAGCATGACTATAATCACAGCCATGTGGGAAGTGCATATAGGAGGATCAAGATACAGGGCCAGCCCTGGGCAAAAGTCTTAAGACCCTATCTGAAAAATAACTAAAGCAATAAACAGCTGAGGAGAGTTTCATTCAAGTGTAGAACATGTACTTAGCAAGCATGAGGCTGTGAGTTCAAACCCCAGTATGACCAAAAAAAAGAAACAAAATTTAAAAATTTCCAAAACTGAAGAATCTAATGGTAAATGCCATTTTTTCTGTGTGTAGGGGGTCCAAACAGATGTCCCCACTGCCAGGTTCATCAAGAAACTGGAGCACCACAGTCCTGAGTGTCTGCTAATGGAGCTGAGTCCTCATTGGCTGTTCTGGTGGCCATGAACTCCTGCTGATACAGATGGAGGTTACATCAGCAAAAACTTAAAAATTTCTTCTCATCCACGCTGCTACCAAGCTACCAGTCCCAGACTATACCCAAGCATTTCACTTTCTGGTCCCAAATGTGGTCCCTCACAGTTCCCTAGTAAACTCCCTCTTAACCAGAGCTGGAGTTGCCCCTGGGCAACTCCAAC